AACAGTAATTTCAAATTTCACTTCCATCTTGCCACCACCGTCCGCCATTTTGTATCGCGAGTATTTCCGAATTGATCGCGACGTTCGAGCAAGAGCAAGTGGAAAAGGATTGTTGAACGCCTCTCCGCGAGTTTCTTCGGAACAACGTGCCCGAGTTCCGACCGAATTTTTCTTCCGCAGTGGGCGGAAGTTAAGAAAGTTCGCCGGCGCAGGGGAAGGGGCGAAGGCGGAGGGCGAGGGAGTCGAAGTTTTACGTGGGCACCGGGGCGCGGCGTAAGTTCTCGTTTGCGGGAGCGCGGCGTAACGATAATGTGCGGCTACCGAGACACATATACGTGCCGACGAAGTGTTTATTTTCCGGTGTCATTTACTCCGGGTGAAGTTGGCGTGGCACGGAAGCAGCCGCGACAGGGGAACGCGATTATATTCTGCGCGGCCGGGCGCAATTAGAGGAAATATACAACCGTGAAAAGGAGAAACACGAGGTAGCCCGTTGTTATTCTTGAACACGCGCGTGGTTTCAAGATTGCCGTGCGGCTCGCACGCTCGTCAAACGACGCCGCTACTTACGGAACCGTCCCGTACCCGTAGTCTCTTTTGATTCGCAACAGTCGGCACATTTCATGCTTCGGAAATAGGTCCGCCGCGCGACGCCATTTTAACGGGCCGCGCGCGATCGGGATCGTTGGAGCCGCAGATCTGTATGTGAATTCGGGCCTTTGAGAATATAATTGGAAATATGGAATTAAACAATTGGCTCTTTCTGCGGAATGTTATGGTAAATGGAATAGTTTAAGTGTTTCATGAATTTGGTGGTATTGTTCGCATCCTAAGCAATTTTGGGCTGGAATGTTTCCTATATATGCATAAGGATCTGCAGTCTATTATTTGCCGATGTTAATCCTTTTGTAGAAAAATGTATAATTATTTTTGTTAGTTTTCTATTTTTATCGTAAGTTTGAATTATTTGTCGAATTACAGGAATTTCTTTTACTGGGAATTTCAAAATATTTTGAATCAAGAGGAATAACAGATTTTTTCTTGACAATATTTTATGTAAATCGTTAGTTCCGAAGCACGATAGATCGTGAAATTTTTTCACGTAATAAATCTCCTTAATTAGGTAATAAAGTGCGATATAGAAGGACGCAATAAGAGCACTGAAGATTACAGCCACACACACGGCCTTTAAATGGCGGGTGTATAGACTTCGTTTGCATTTTAACGTTAATGGAAAAATTATACAATTGTCACCGAGTACGTGATAGTGGTCCCTTAAGGAACGCAGTGGCTGACGGCGAGCGTGTTAAGTAATTGTAAATCAATGAGTTTATTAGAAGTTGGAAGATAAGTGCTTGAATAATCACCGCAGAAAATAATAATTTCGCGTCGATTTTGAAGCAGCATTCCGAGGGGCTAAAAGAGTCGCTGAAATTGACTAGGTTCAGCCGAGATAAGGGAATTTTAATTGGTCGTGATTATAAGGCACCCGCCGTGGACTGAATTCAAAATATGAACCTACGACATAATACATAACATCAACTTAATCGGGAACCTATTATTCCAAGCCTCGGCCTATTTAAAAAATTCTTAACATCTCGCAAATGTCTATCAACCCTTAACTTCATTCGTGACAAAGTTAACTAACCTTCCAGCATTAGCTCTTAATTTTTAATTAACCTCTCAACGTTTCCATCCTCAATGTCCTCCAACCACTTCAACTTCAACACTACTCAAAATTTCTTTTTCAATTAAAACCGTCTTTCACAGAGTACTTTCAAAAATTCAACTATCCATTCATTCGCATAATTAACATATACTTTCAACCCGCATTTTACAGTAAAGATATGTCGGAACGGTTATCAATTATTTACCGGCCATGGTGATCACCGAGGCAGTCGATGTGTTAACCTAACGTCGATTGTACTCTTATATTTGATATGAATCGTCCGAGAATTGATCGACGAATTTAAGAACCGATTCTTGGATGACTGTCGATTCGGTCTTCCTAAAAAGCCCGGCTGATTAATCGAAGTCAAACCGGCGTGGTCACGCGCGCCGGGTTACCATGTTAACGTCGCGACGATAAATTTTGATAATGAACAGTAGTAGCGGGCGATATCATTAAATTAAGCATCGGCGCGATACTCTCTTTCTCTCTGTCTGTCTATTTGTCTCTCTCTCTCTCTCTCTCTCTCTCTCTCTTTCTCTCTTCTCCCCCTGCCTCTCTCTCCCTCTCGTACGTTAATTGAGTGTTGAATGTCATGTGCTCGGAGAGGTGAATATGTTTATGTATGAGCGTACGAGCGCGCAGGTGATTTATCATCACATTATACGCCGCGTTACAAATTGTCCGCCGCGGTACACGCGCGTAATTATATCGGTAATTTGCGTTCGCCGTTTAATAATACCGGGTAGGTACGCGTCGCGTGGCCACTTTCTCCGCGAGCTTCATTTCCTCTTGGCTGCCCAGGCCACGATCGTCGCGGGTCACTTGTGCAATGGCGATCACAATATGCGAGATATGGGAGTGATTAATGCGAGTGGCTTGGAATTTTTTTTATTAATACCTTTGCGATTTATCTGGACGAAGATATTTGTTGTTGCTGATTAGATGAAAGTACGTTTCGGTGTTTTTAAAGAATCTTGGAATATTTCTTAACATTTTTTTGAGTAAGTTGTAATCGATTTTAGGTATCTTTACACGACGTTCAAGGGTTATTCTAATACAAGATAGAATCATTTAGCGAGTATTCGAATGTTGGATGTTTCGACGAGTTACAAATTATACGTTGATGTTTACGCAAGGAAAATAAAATGTGTACTTCAATATACAGGGTGTATTAAATATTTCTATCAGTTCAAGAAACATCAAAATTATGTATTTATAAAGGATAGAGGCATTATAATATTGTTCAGAATAAGTTTTTATGGTTTTTACATTTTGTGATCGAATGTTGCAAGTAATTTATGCGATCCACCCTGTGTATCAACTTCAGCGAGAATGATTCTGTTCCAGGTGATGTGAATGGATGTTCATGAGTTACCGACCTGCGTCCGTGTCCCGGCGAAGCGTTTAGAAGAGAAAATATCGGAAAAATCGTGTCGTGCTTACCCTTACATTTGAACTTTTCGTTCCGCAACGAATCGATCCTCCGCTTCTGCGCCCTCTTCGGTGACTCGCACTTAGCACCCGACGTCTCGATGGGGTGCGCGTGAAGGTACGCGCTCAGCCATCGCAGATTGCAATCGCAGATGAACGGATTCTTTGCCAAATGTCTGCGAGAAATCGAGGAACGTTTCTTTCAAGCGGCTGTACTCGAGGCTTCACGCTGTTTCGACTACGTTTTCCCTCGAATCGTGTGCACCTCGCACAAATTTAACCTAATTTCCGCGTCCGCGAAAATTTCAACCCCTTCGCAGCTTAATATACGTCTAATCGGAGAAATTGATATTAAATCAAATTTCATTTTACTGGCAAAATAAAATCAAGTTCTGGTGAATATTATTGAAGTCTGGATTTCATAAACCTTGAAAGATTCTTAGATACTGTAAACGTATGAATTCCTGCAATCCAATTATAACCAAGTTCAGATGAACTTGTTAAATATTTCATTAAACTACGTAAGGGTTATTCTTTGTCCCAGAACATTTTTTTAATCGTTTTAATAAATTCCTGCACACTATAATAAAATAACTATGGGCGGAATGTCGATATATTGGAAAAAGGTTTAATAATTTTTAATGAAACACAGAATTTGAAAGCAGGAATATCAATGAAGATTGCAATGGTAAAAATAAAATTATGAATTATTGTAAATCTCTTATTGTAATAGGTATATTATTAGAAAAATAAGTGTTTTTAGCTGCTGAAAGAAATTAGTAAATTTTCTAATATTTTGTATCGATTTCAGAGAATATTTAGAACAACGTTGCGCAAATAGCGGCACACGAGTCCCCAGGCAGTGAACAAAAAGCTCAGTGACACGCATCCGCGATTCGATCCCGCCGTTAAGTGGGAAGGGGTCGCGCGAAACGCTAAAGCCACGGTAATTTGTATAAATTAACGGTTCAATGGCGGAATACAAACAGCGTTTCAATGCTTCGCAGATTGGCGAAAGTTCCATTGGCCAGGGATCTGATGTTGTTATCGTACAGGGACAACAGTGTCAGGCTGGTCAGATCTCGGAACAGATCGGTCCGTATGCAGGATATCTCGTTCGCGTTCAACAATCTGTAAAAGGTCATTTTAGTTTGTCAATTTCCTCTTTTTAGTGCACCAAATTAATTACAGTGGGCCATAAAAACAAACAATAACGACAGATTTATGGAATATTTAAATAAAATATTCTCAACAACCTAGGAAGCGGAAAAATGTCACTGTAAAATTACTCTGAACAAATAATAAATATAAAATATGATTTCAAATGTTGGAAATAGGAAAATAAAAATGAAATTTGAAAAATAATTTTTAATCACCATTTGAGATAACAACATAAGGGACGATATTAAGGATTGAAAAATAAAACTGAAAAATGTTCTATTGCTGATTAAAACAATCAATTTTCTAATTTTTCTTCTAAACATTCACTTACAGCAATTCTAAATTGGTCAAGCCTTGGAACAATCCACTGGGCAGTTCGGTGATCTTGTTTCCGTACAGCACGCTGGAATCATGTTGCAATGTTATTTATCAATTGCAAAAATATCGTGCATTTGATATCGTATGTTTCATACGTACAGTGATTCGAGGGATTTCAATCCGTGGAACGCGTCCGCAGCTACCTTTTTGATCTGATTGTTGCTGAGGTCACTGCGAATGAATAAATGGAAGGATATCGAGCATTAAACGTTATCAGTTACAGATTTGAACATGTTACGGGAGAAAACGGATAGATAGTAATATCGCGAACGTCACTCACATTCTGCGCAGCCTCCTGTATGGGAAGAAAGCTTTCGGCGGGATCTCCGTGATGCTGTTCTGCTCCAACCGACTGTGAACGATCGAACAGAGAACAAATAAATTAACAAACGTTCGACAGCTTCGCTCGTTTGATTCCCAGCGTAGTTACAGTTGCGCAAACCGGAGAACAGCCTGCATTGATCGATTCCACGTAAAAGAGAATTTTCAGAAGCGTCGAGTCAAATGCAATTACTGCGGGAATCTTTGTCGAATACTCGGTGCAATTACTCGACGTATCCATCTGTTTTAAATTTCGAATATTCTCCTTTTAGTTTCCTGCGATGTCATTTATCTCAATAATCCACCGTCGTATTTTAATTAATTTAAAACTCGCTAGATATCAATATCTTTGATTCAAAGCTTCAAAGTAAATATTCAATTTTAGTAAAATTCAATTTAAAGTTATTGCTACAAAGTCTACATTTCTAACGAAAATTTCATTTCTTAGACCTCCATTGATATCTCTCCCCACCAACTCATCATAAAACACGACGCTTCCAAAAATTAATTAATTCAGAACTCGCGAAATATGAATATTCTTTAATCGAAAGCTTCAAAGTAACTTTTCAATTTCAGTCAAATCAAGTTCAAAGTTCTTACTGGAAATTCAACATCAACATAAATTTAATTTCGTAACCTTCGTTAAGAATTATTGCCGACCAGTCCTCATAAAACAGGATGCTTCCAAGATCTATCAAAACCTCGCAGGACTGAAGTTCGAGACAATTTGAGTCATCCATCATCAAAACAGATCGGTAAAAACTATGGCTCGATTATGCCGATACTTCGCCACGCTTCTAAAACGCTGGCCAAACTTTCCGGGAACTTGCGAGACTACTTTTTCGCGGTCGATACGCGAACGTGGATCGAGTTTCTTAGTTAACCAGGTGACGATGGTCGGCCGCTGTGCAGCGGTTAATTGCGAAGTTTACATCGATATCACGTCTCGAACTTCATGCAAGAGCGATTCGGCAACTGTACGCTGGGATAGTGTAGGAGACAATCTCGTTTACGAACAGCTCGGTGGTGTCCTCGGGAAGGTGGGTGGGCACTTTCGTCAAAGAATTCTCCCTGCAGTCGACGATACCATCGGCGCATTTGCACGGATGCGGACAATGCGGTTCCGCGCTGCATTCGGATACTGTCCGCTCAACCGGGCCCGAACACTTGAATTCGTGCTCCTGTGCGGGGAACGGAAACAGCAAGAATTTTTAGTCAAAGATACGTCGGTTTGGAACTCTCCGCGACAGGGCGATAATAAAGCGAGCCCGTCCATAGTCGGATTACAGCTGTAACCAGCGCCATTCCGCGGACGCCCGAGATAGGACTGTATTTTAATTAATTATACGCTGATAAAATGGTCACTCGCGTTTCAGCGACTTTTCTGGAACTTTGACGGAGAGATTGGGAGAATACGGCTTCAATAAAAGGTGAATGTCTCATTTGAAGTTCAAATTTGGGAATGTGGAGCTTTTAAGAAATTTAGGGAAATTTGGAGCTCATTGGATATCATTTGATTTTAGTAACTAGGGGAATTTTTGATGGTATAAGTGTTTTCAGTATCGTAGAAAAGACGCTGTAAGTAACGGTTAAAATTAATGAGAGAGTTTGAGATGTTAAGTGCGAGGTCAGATTGTTTTCATGAGTAGGGGGATTTTTGAATACTTCATAATAATAGGTAATAATCTATTGAAAATTTAAATCATTTTAGAACGTAGGATATTTTTGATCATCTTTAAGTACTTCGACATAAATGGTATGCTTTAAGACATTCGAAGGAATAGCGAGAAGGTCGGAGAATGTTAAAATAAAAGAGATTTTCTAATTCACGAACCAGCAAGTCGACGATATTTCGATTTTTCAGCTGAATCGGCGAGGCGCATCGTATGTTGTGTTGGCCGAGCCGCGGGAACGTTTTCAAATGTCGTGACAACCAGGCCAAATGGCAGTCGCAGGAAAGTGCGTTGTCGACGAGCATCAGCGTTTGCAAATGGGACAGGCCGTTCAGCATTTCCCTCCCCAGCGTAGTCAGTTTATTATTATTCAACATCCTGCAATGCGGCATTAACAAATACAACCTCCCTCGTTCCACAGACATCGAAAAAAAAGAAATTATGGTTTCATGAACGATCACTGAAAATCAACAGTAATAACACAAAAAATCTCAAATACAAGCAACACAATAATTATCGATTCGAGCGAACCAGAGAATTTACTTTCAGATTACAAATATTTGTTTAATCGACTTCGCTACTTCGATTTCTGCCGTCACAATAAAATACGAAAATCTCATTTTCATTCGTTAGTCAGTAATTGAGCTTCATTTATTCTCTAATTGTCCGGCACGAAAATTTCAATTCGACGGTACAAAATGTTCGGAACGAATATTTAATTCACTCACAGTATTTCAAGATTCTTCAGCTCCCGTATCGACGCTTCATCGATGCAGGTCAGCACGTTGTTGTCGAGCAGCCTGCGAAAGCAAATGATTCATGAGGACGTCCGCCGAAATTCCACGGTTGAAAAATTTAAACGGTATTTTATATCTTCCAGGAGTTCGCGTTCGATGTTATATCAATAAGTTATCGGCGGCCACGATTCATCGAGCGACCGGTTCTCCTCTATATTTTTAATATCCGGATGAAAGCAGTGGCTGCGCGATGTTACGGGAGACCGTAAAGGAACAAGAAAGGCAATTAATTATAGACCGAGGTGAAGAAAGCAGTAAAGCAAAAAACCAGTACCGTAAGAACGAGCTACGAAAAGTTCACTTTACACGGCTCTGAACTATCTTTTTTACATTAGCGAGGAATTTTAGATTAAACCGGAATTAGCTCGCCTGCCGGCGACCGTGTCCGACTAGGTCGAGGGACGCTACTTAGCTGCCAGAGCTACCGTTGACCTGTTCCACTAGCTTCGATCCTTTTTTTCACGGACAGCAGTTCAATTACACTTTCGAAAAAGTGATCCAACATATAAAGATAACTTACAGATATTTCAGAGACGATATTCCTCTAAGCGTCTTCGGACCAATAGTAGCGATTTGATTGTGGCTGAGATCCCTGAAACAAATCAAAAGCAAACTTATTAAATTCATGAATAAAATATCCCATTCGATTAGAAACTTAATAATCTATCCCACATAGTACCTAATCATTTAAGTATTCCACACACAAATCTCCAACACCCAAATCCGCATAACTTAAAACTAATCAAATGTCACCTAACCTCAAATTCGCTTTCCGAAATCTTTTAACATCATAAAAATCCTAAAAATGTCTTAAGAAGGATGCAACGCCACAAATGTCGAGCACTGCTTGAACACTTGGACTCATTAAAATTAAACGCTCTGGCGATCAATTTATCAGGCTCCACCGCGAACCGCTCCAATATTCAATACCCTTCGCGCCGGAGAAAAGGTAAAACCAATTTCCGTGTTGGTTGCTGGGGACAAGGGAGCCATTACATAATCAGCAGGAAAGCCGCGGAGACATCGATCAATTAACCTGTGCTGCGGCGGGTGATGGGCAGATATATGCCGTCGACCTTTCGAACTTTCTATCGCGCAGAGCAGTAAAGACGGTTGCCGGACGGCCGATCGGCCCGGCGATACGTTAGTCCAGTTCGCTAGCAGTTTGTCTCGAGTTCGTTCCACATTCCCGGTAAATTATTCAAAAAGTCGCCGACTGCCACCGCGGATCGCCGGGAAAAATTGCGGACGACTCACGTGTGACCGTGCACGTGCACGCGGCTCACGTGGGCAGCTATGGATTTCTTTAAGGTTTCACGGGGTCGTTACACTGGGTAACGAGTGACCGTTTCCTACGGTCTCTTCACGTGACAGGCCGAACGCTTCTCCTTCGGCTAGAACCGAACACCCGTTTCTCTCGTTTCCGATGGTTTTCCCGGGCGCACCGTGCTCACCCGATGAATATTCAATGGAAATTTCGCCGGGTCATATACGCGCGCTATGGCCACGTCGCGCTCCATTCATGGCACCTTTAATCCGCCCAGAATCAAATTTTTATTTTGCTCCAGGTCCACGACGAAATGTTTCTCTATTGTTCTTCGTCTGAATATTCGGGCTCTTCTTGCGTTCGGTCTTTCGTTGTTTTTGGGTACTTTGGGAATGTATAAATAGATTAAGTATGGAGACGCCTTTTTCACAGGAGTACCATTCTTTGGTAATTGCGTTTGGAAGTTCTTCCAATGTAAGAGATATTATAAGGCTAGCGAATTCTGAAAAGTTTTTTGAAAATGGGCTTTTTGAATTTTTTGGGTAACATTTAGGACTTAAAGTACATCAAATGTAGAATGCTTTCTTGAGAGGAGTACCCTTTTTTGGAGATGATTGTTTTCGAAGTTCTTCGAATGTGAGAAATATCGTGTTGCAAGGTTACGTCTATAAAACGAAGTTCCAATAGAACAATTTTATTCCAGTCTCTTCAATTCATTCTGCCGCGTAGATTCATTCGTTCAAGTTTCGTTTTCTATTTACATGCCAATTCATTTGCAATTAGATGATGATTTAGAACACTCTCGACGCATAGAATTCTACTTAAACAGTTTCAGTGGAGCAGTCGTCCTGATTAAAGGAAAACAAAAGTTCGTCCCAGTGAAGACATTAAAAGAAACTTTCCTTGAATTCATTTCTTTTTGTCTTTGGAAGAGAGTTGATTTTCCGAGCGGGAAAAGACACGCGGGTTCGGTCGGTGGAAGCTCGAGCGGCGTGTTTCATAAACCGAACCCGCGTACTTACTTCCGCGTGTACACGTACGTGTGGGTGGTATGTAGGTCATCGTCTGAAAAGTTTATGCGATAACCTCCGTCCTGTATTGTAGTGACGAGATAGAGACCGCGACGCGGACTTTCACGAACGCCAGCCACGGGCATTAAGCAAATTCCCGTCGAAACGGTCGAGTGTCTTCGCCCCAGTTACTTTTTCACGCGTATTCGATCGTTCTCCGTCTCGGAAACTGAAACTCGCGCGGTATGTAATTGCAAGTTGATGTTCGCCGCTAAATGCCAACATTTCTGTAGAATATTCAGAATGTTTGGGGCGAATGGAACAAGAATGTGTAAACGGTAGAACGTGGAAAAATATGTTACGAGATGAAATGAAAGGTTACAAAGGATTCTCCCTTTTAATTCATTTTAAATAAAATTTTGTATTTCTTTAAACATTGTTAGAGGTATTTTCGAATTCGTTTAAATGGATGAAAAGTTAACGGTGATTTTTCTACCCTATGGTTCGACCTATATTCGAGGAACATCGTGCAGAATAGAGTACAAAGGAGGGAATAATTTCTAGTACGATGTTCCTATCTCAGCAAAATCCGATTACAATGTATATCATACTAATTATTCAAATTTCAATGAAGAAGTTCAATATAACCCGGTTACAAGGAGAACTTAGTCAAATGAATTTTCGAATAAAATTGAATGAATTCCTAAAGATATTATAAACTGACAACTTTCAAACCACCTGCACAATTCTACAATAAACGTAAACAATAAAACACAACAAATTCAAATAAACATTAAAACATATCTACCCATACATTTCCTCCAATTTCACCTTCGAGAAACAATTCGTTTCACCAACAAAAACCATTTGGAAAATTCAGGACGAAATGGCCCACATTTTGTAAAACAATAAGTACACTATAAATACTATTAATCCTTTGCACTCGAAAGTTTTTCACTGGAAATATTCAACATTTTCCGACGAGATATAGACGGCATCGTTTGAAACTAATTTAACGATAATTCAAAGATAAATTAAGCAACAAAGTCATTTTATTTAAATTTTTCACATAGCGATACAATGTTTCATTCAAAATATTAAACATTCAACATTCATAGTTCTGTTGCATCAAACCAAGTGGTGACTGAGAGTCACCTCTCGGCTGCAAAGGGTTAATATCTAACAGAAAATCCACAGAATATTCCACTCGAAACAAATGAAACCCTAGATATCGAACGATCTAAATGAGACCGGTTCTCACTCGGAATTACCGTGTAATCGTAAATAGAAATAAATCATCCGCGAAAGACAGAGCGCAATCTTCATTAATCAAAATCCGGAAGACCGTCGATCGCAATAAACGGTGCGTGGGTTTTCTCGTTTCAGATGCCGCGGCCGTCGTCGCTGTTTCATTGAATTGATACGAGGCGCTTGTATAGCACAAGACGACGTCGCGTCGGGGTCTTGGGCCGATCGTCGACGGAACGTGTGATTAACCCATCGCGCGGTGCTGTGGAAAGCCGCGACGGGCTCGGAGGTGGTAAGAGGATGAAACTACGCCGGTAATAAATGGTTTGACACAATGGAAAGGGGCGCGGACACTCGGGCTGATTAGTATCACTCCGTCGTGTAAGCATATTGCGCCTGTTGAAACGCGATACCCTCGGTGCGCGGCCGAGGTCCGCGCCAACGTACAAGCTTGTATTTACGAGGCAATAACATTTGTTCGCTGTACACTTAAGCCGATAATAACCGGGACAAACGTTCCTTCCTCCCCTTTCACCCGCCCCTCGCGAGCATTTGTGTGCGCCCGTGTACGAGCGTGTCGCTTTGACAGGCCGGCGTTGCGGTGATTTAAGCAACGAAACGCATCGGCGAGTGTCTTGCGAATCGCGTGCACGTGAATTTACTGCCGCGTATTATTTCGTCGCGTAAGACGGCCCGGTCCGGTGTCCGGTGACCCGTGGAACGCCGTCACCGGCCACTCCGAGCTGCGAAAATGCTGTGTTGATAAGTCCCAAGGAGAAGGGAAGTTGAAACGATCGTGGAATGGGTTCCTTCTGAGGCGAAGCTTGCGGAGTTTGTTATTTATAGGGTATTGATCGATGAAATGTAATACATTTTGTTTCGTTTTCTTCTGGGAGCATCGAACTACCCCTTTGGAATTTACTATGATATCTTTTTGCAGGTAATATTTCTCATATAATAGCGATCTTCTATATTTCTATATTTTTCTCTATACATTTTTCAAATGACAGTATGATCTTCTGTATTTTCGTGTTTCTATATTTTTTTCTGTATTATCATTTTTATGTAATATATAATTTACGTGAATTCTGCTAAGCCTGCGAACACGATTTTTTTTTATAAGGCTATTGAGACTTAATATTGAACGTTAAATATAATATTCTTTATCTGTCCCATGAAACTACCCCTAGGAAATAAATTACGCTAATCCTCACTGCGAAACACCCTTACCTTAATATTCTCTTCAAACACCATTCACAGTTACAAATTTCCCACGCAAATCTTTCGAAATTAAAGCTTAAGATCCTGTTATATTCGCCAGCGAGTAATTCGAAGGTTCAAAGAGAAGTAATTCCTCGTTCCCTTTGCAACACAGAAAAATCGAGAGCGCGCGAGAAAGAGGAAAATTCCACGACAAGCGAGCAACTCTTATGATCCTGACGCTATCAATCCGGGGTCTAGTTTCACTCGACTGTTATCGCGCTCGCACAAACCACGGCGGCGACAACATTCGGACGTCTGTAGAGGGGCGAAGGGTCCACGAGGTCCTTTTGTTAGTTCCAGCGAAGGAGCGGCCACGTCGAAATTCGGTAATTGCTTTCTGGATTGGCCGGCGCGCGGTGGGAGTTTAATCTGTCCGTCTCACGCGCGGCGAAATTATCGAAACGCTCGCGAAATTCATTTCGCCGATGTGTTCGCGATGGGGAAATAGAAATTCATTTTTCCGGGGACTCTCGTGCCGTGGCGAGTTGGGAAACACCCCGAGGCAAGATCTGAACGCGACCTAGCGAATGAAAACGTCTTGCATCATTTGTCATTATCTTGAGACCTGTGTACCCTCGTACATTTATAAAACGTCGTAGCGGCGTTATAAAGCGCGGTTCCGCTGAAATGAAATGAAATGAAATGAAATGAAATGGAATGAAATGAAATGAAATGAAATGAAATCGGTGAAAGGACTTTTGTATTAATATACTGCGGTGGTTCTTTGTTATCCGAACTCCGAGTTCGTTTAAGTATTTTTCTGTTGTATAGGTTTGGTTGAAGATTACATGAATGATTAATATGTACGTTAGAAAAGAATTAATAAAAGAGAAACTTTATTTGAAATAATCGAAAAATATAGAATAATTTAATAATTATTTGCCCTGATTCATTTTCTTGGTTGAAGGGAGATTAAACTTTTTACTGAATCGTTTCGACAAATAAATAGAGGGAGAACAAAATCGATTATCGATGTCTTTTATTTTATTTTATAAAGGATTTCTTTATAAATACGTAATACAGAGGATATGGAAAAATGTTGAAAGAAAACGAAACATAGGACACACATGAGCAAAGCATGCAAAAGAGGCAAATCAGTAGTTTCGTTATAGAAAAGTAGATACAACCACGTGCAGGAAGAGAGGAAACGAAGGAAGCAAGAATTCTCGAACGAATCGCATCTTCTTTCCGCAAATGGAAGACTTAGAATTTAGATGCCGAGCGCTTCGCTGGAACGAAATGTTTCGCCGTGGAAAAGAAAGAAATAAGTCCGATCCCCCGCAATACCTGCATCGCTATCAATAGAAACATTCTGCTCGCGGTCGTACCAAATTGCCCGTTCAAATTAGGAACTTATCATGATCAAGCCGCAACAGCAGCTCCAAATGAAACTGGCAGCACTAAGAGCTCGTCTTCCTTTTGCTCCTGGCATGTCTACGTGGTCGAAATTCGGTAATTGCTTTCAGGATTGCCTCCGGTAAGCAGCGAGTCTAAATCTGCCAGTTCTTGCCGTATGTTCACGGCTCACGGCTCCAGAATACCGTGGCAGGGGCACGGAGCTCCTCCTTTTCTCGCGGCTCGGGCGAAATTCTCCTCCCTTTTTGATATTTAATCATCTTCCGTTGTTAAAGGTGTCGGGGCTGTCCCGATGCAGACGTTTCAGATACCGGGCACAAAGGAATATCTCCTGGAATTATTCTGATCGTTGGAAAAATACGTAATCAATGATTATAATATAAATATTGAAGCCTAGTTAATGAATGTAAAAATATAGATAATAATATACTGTAAACGTTAGGTTGAAATTTAAACTATTTAACTTTTATTCAATAAAAGAATTGTTCGAATCCTTCTTCCTATCCTATCATTCATAAAATATTTCACGATTATTGTAAATTTAATATTCATTGAATTTACTATCAAGTGATTATTGAATTTAATCAAGTTTATTCGACGCCAGCTATAAGAAAGAAAGGTTAGTAAAAACTGAACGAGGCTTTGAAGATCGGTAAGAATTTCGTTTCACTGGTAAATGAAGAATTGTTGACTTTCCAGCGTATGTACGTGATGAATAATCTCGAGAATACTGTTGCCCGCTACGTCCTCCCCAGCAGTAAATCCTCCCCTTTCCAGTCTCCGGAGTCACTATTTTCTATTTTTGTTTCTCATCTCGACCTCGTCTAGATGCTCCGGCCGTGGTCTCACTGGCGAGCATAATTACAGAGTGCGGGTCTCGAGCCAATGGATGGTCAACGGTGAACCGTGCACCGAGACCTCTAACCTATCATCGCGAACGTCTGGTTAACTCGTGCACCGGGCGGAGAGGAACCCGGGTATCTCGCGGCCCGAGACGCAACGCTATCTGTTTAAATAAACCGCGGAGGATCCATTATCGTGACCAACCGCGCCGTTGAAAAACCATCGAGTTGCTATGCATTTATGTACGCCGTTTCATTCCGAGGGAATTGCCGTAGAGAAACGGTTCCGCGACGCCAAGATGGCTGCCGCACAGTCAAACAGCCGTTTTCTGGGCAGAACTCAATAACTTAAAAAGCATACGTGATACAAACAAATGCTTCGGACAAAAGATGTAAGGTATAGAGCTAAACATATGGTGGTTTACATTTGTTTTACGTTATGGGGATATTCTGAAGTTTTTTCGATGACAATGGATATTTTGCGTTTCGATTCCAACGTTATATAAATAGAGAAACGGAATTTATTTGTACAAAATTGTTATTTTTGCAATGAAAATCATTTTGTATAGCAGGGGCTACTTAGCGACGTATTGGCAACCTTCAATTTTCGTTATGTGAATAATCGAATTTGGAGGTTTGTCCATAGGCGACCACATTGTGCGCCGAGGTGACTCGTATTCACTTGCTGCGAATGTTCACAGATACTTTCGGTTCAGAAATTTACATGCGCTTTAAAGGAAAGCCTGGAAATGAGACTAGACGAAATCAAATCGCTTTAAAGTCTGCCGAACATTCGCTGAATCTATAGGATAAATACTGTTCCTGGAATATATCACTGGTTTTACTTGAAAAGTCACATATTTGTGGCGTCTGTAATCACATATTTTACATAATGAAAATGAAATTAATCCTACAGATATTGGTATTAGAAATTATAAACTACGACATTATATTTAGGAACTCAATAACTCGTTTCAGTTTCATTTTTCTAATATTTTGTTTAGAAGATTTATTGGATTGAAGAAAATGTTATAATTGAGTAGACCGTCACTGAAATAAGCGCTGGTAGCGAACGTGTTAACCTAAAGATTGATTGCTATTCTAGAGAAACGCGATTCAGTGATTCAAGGATACCTAATTATTCTTCTGCCATCTTCATTTCTCTAATTCTGTTAAATCTTCCAGTCGCAAACTCTATTACCTAATAATTTAGACTTTCCTACACTTAAAGTCACTTAAACTCTATAAAATACAAGAAATAATAAAAATTCAGCAATAAAAAGAAAAATATATACTTCTGTGAAAGGTACCAATGCGCACAGACGTGTTCGAAGGTTAAATTGAAAGGCTTTTCTCTGGGCATTCCTGGATCCTGAATCTTAATCAACCAGCAAAGAGCACAGGGTATTCTTGCGCGGTCGCTTAAACGAGGAAAAACAGGGAAGTAGAGTAAGAAAGTAGAAAAGGCAGCGGTTCTATCGTGATCGTTGGGTGAATACGCGGTTCCCGCTTTCGCGATAGCTAGGTCGATGGTCGCCACTCGAGTCAAAAAGCTTGGCCGTCGCGTCGGGGGCAAGAAAGAAGGTCCCTTTTTCCCCAGTGGCCGGCCACGGCCGCGGCTGACAGCGACGATTTCGAGGAAGCGAGACGAAAAGGCAAAACAAAGGGAGAGAGGAAACGGGAGGCGGGAAATGGAGATGGGCCATCTATCATCCGGTGAAGTGGCCGGACGGGACTCGAAAGTTCTTCGGGTCCGGTCGGCCGGCCGGCCTTCCTTCCTTCCTTCCACCCTGCTCTCGGACACGTAACCTACAGTTTCTGATGATAAGGCCGGGATCAGCCAGCTTACAAAAGGACGTATTATGTTGCGAGCTTCGGCGAGATTCTCACGGGCATCCGGACGCTTGATAATCCTTCATCTGCCGTGGATAAGTCGATGGCCCCGACCAAACGGAAACGAGAGAAGGCCGGAGCACTTGGGGTGTTGCTTCGAGATGCGTTTAGTGTTGCGCGCTTTGATTCATTTAAATTTTATGATTCTTGGATGATTTGTTTGGCGGTGAATTTATTAAACTATTGTTACTTTTTTTGTATCTCTGAAGAAGTATTCTGGATCGATGGAAGATTCGAGAATTGAGTGGGTTTTACTACCTTTTTGGTTTTATCGTTTTTGATGACTTTCAGTGTAATTGGATGAATTATATGATAAGAGAAATTGATTGAAATTGTAAATTGTAATATACTTTGAAATATCGAGGTATGCAGGAAGTAATAAAGGGAGAGTTGAAATTGTCACGCTCCGAGGATCCTTATATGGTTATTGCAACGGCGAGGAAGAGGAGGCAGGATAATTTCATTAAACTGTGCAATACTTACAGGCGCTTTAAGTTCATCATGTTGTTGAACAGGAGATCGGGAAGGTGACGTAGCTGGTTATTGTTAAGGCGCAGCTTCTCGACGGCGACTAAATCCTGGAAGGCGCCTTTCTCGATGGTGTGAATCTGGTTATTTGATAGCCAGCTGCAACAGAGGCAACACCATGTATCCGAAATAAAGATATTTATTAATTCCGCATTAATTAATTCATTCTTATACGTTCTATCATTAATTAATTACTTCTTATACATTCTAATCATCAATTAACACTAGAACTACCGAGTGTTTAATGTAACTGATATGTAATTCCCCTAAAAATTATAAGAATAGATTATTTTCAGTTTCTTCATATATTTATTATAGTATTTAAGTGAAACTATTTATATTCAAACTTATTACGAATATTCATTGCTTTTAAGATATTAGTAATTATGAAGTAAGAAAACCGAAACCAGTCATTTTGACTTGTACGATAGTTCTAATGTTAAAATCATTAAAACAATTGCATCTAACGAACATCGTCGTCGTCAGATAAAATTGAATAAAGTACAAATATAACTTAATTAACTCGTGACCTATACGATCCTATATATGGATCATATATTATCTACACCAATCCCCGAATCGAATTCCGCAAACTCGTTAACATCTCGATCTCCCGGAAGACCGCGACTACGTCGAATCCCGTTCGCAGACGTGGCTCCGCAAAGCCGTCAGAGGCTTCGCCCTAACTCACTTCGTTACTTAGCGAACAGAACCGATCGTCTACTCACAGAATGTGAAGCGTGGCCATGTCCTCGAAGTCCGTGTTGAATATCACCGAGATGTTGTTCCCCTGCAGCTCTCTGGAACAAAGAGGAAACGGGATTTGAAGTCCGTACTCGATATCATGGTATCACGTGAATATTAAACTTATACATGTAGCTTTTAACGTAATTTCAATGTTTCATTTCTGATTTGGCATACAGGAAAATCGAAAGAAAAAACACTAAAAGAAAACTGTGCATAAAGAAAGGACAGCTTTCAGATATTGCAGAGCAAGACGAATCAGATCAGAGGGTGAATCAAAATAAAAATTCAGCCCATATTTCTTATACCGCAAATTATATTCATCTGCATCAGAAAGATTATAATATAAATAAATTATAATCATTTGCAACAGAAAGATTCAACAATACTTTCTAACTTCTCATTATTAATGTTCGAGTATTTTTACTTCCATACTGTCGAACCTACAGTTTCACTCTATATAATATTAGCCACGGAAATTATCTTTGATAAGAAACTATAAAACTTTCTCGAAAATAGAAAGAGATCGTACACAAAACTAACCAGATACCAGATTTAATTCATTATACTAGAAGTTATCATAAAAAAAGACATTACTTATATCACAGAACGACCTAATATATGTAATACTTAGCCATAGTATATTACATTTTTTCTACACAGATCTCTACAATATCAAAGTCCAAGGCCAACGAAAAAAGAAAAGGAAAAAAGCAAGACGAGACGAGATCGTAATTTCGTTCTTCCTAAAAATCTCATAAAAATGGCACTTCTCGCCGGCGGGTTTTCCGCGGCGGCAAAAGGGCGTCCGCCCTTGTCTCCGCGGCCCTTAACTAATTCCATTTCGACCGGCTCTGTCCCCACCGTTCGCCGCGCTCGTATTTATTCGCCGCGAATAAGTATTTCTGTTTCCCGGCCCCGCAAATATTTGCCTCGCGAAACAGAGTGGCGCCGACACAAAGAGCAACCTTCGGAGGATTTTTATCGCGAG